TTGACCTATGACGAAATTATTAAATACAATAAAATTATTTTAATTTTATTCGAATATTACGATTCTCTAATTTTAATATCAGTTTGGATTGCATATTTAAAGTTTCAATTTATTTTGATTACCTTCTATATATTTTCCAGCATCAGATACTAATTTTAGAAGTTCTTTATAATCTTATTCAGTGTTTAGTATCTTCAAGCATAGAGTCAGTTTCAGATAAATCTTTTTACTATTTATTTTGATATTCTAATGATAGGAGTTTAGCTTTAATCAAACTTTCATTTTAATTACTTTATTTCAAAGTGCTAGAATCTCTTAGTCTATTATTTAGTCTTGCTTCTGAAATTCTTTAAGGAAGATACATCAAGAAGAATTAAATCAGCGAACTTGCAAGTAGTATGAGCCCTTAAATATCAGAGGTCGTCCTAAAGTTGGTAAAATAAGTTGTATAATATCCAAATAATGGACCCACTATACCTCCCATCGCATATGCTGTGTTAAAAACGCCTGAAACAATATCTTACACAGCCTCTGGATCAAATCTTTTATTCTTGTGATATGAGAGACAGAGTTCAAGTTCCTTGTAAGGTGGCACAAGTGTAAACGGAGAGGCAAATCCTGATATTAAAAATCCAATGATGGTAAGATAAATTTTTGGTGTTATGTTGAAAAACATTGAGGGTCCAATAAGATAACAGCTTGCTGCCTATACCATCTAGCCCAATATGACACAGAGCACTAAACTTATTCTGCGGGCAACTTTAGGTGCAATAAAGCAAGTTGAAACAAAAGCAGCATTCTAAGCAATATAAATCAAGCTTATTATATAAGGTTCATAGCCATAGGTCTCTTGTAGAAAATCAGGCAAAATTGTGTCACAATAGTTATACATCTAACAGCATATGACAACATCGAGGATTGCAAAAAATCCTCTTGGTGTAAGAAATATGTGTGAGTAATTAAGCTCATCATATTTTGTTTTATCTCTAATTAAGAATTCAGCTGATGTCTATGGAATCTCATCATCTTTATCTGTTATTCTAGGGTCCATGTTTAAACTTCCTGATTCTGCAATTTTTCTCTAGAATTCCTCAGCACTAGTTACCATAATTACATTTGCATTTGCTTCGTATGAATGAATGATGGACTTATCAAAATAGCCAACGGAAGATTATCCAAGGTTTTTATGAGAAAAATTTCTATCATTTTTGCTAACATTCATACTATCCAGACTTATATGGCCTCTTGCAAATGAATTGGCTTGTTTTTTCTTCTTAATTAAGGCAACAGCTCCATGAATATTTGGAGTAATTTTTGCTGATTGAGAAGTAAAGCTCAGCCTTGAAAAGGGGTTTTCTTAAATTACTTTATCTTCAGCCTCCTTTGTCACGAAGTTGATGAGCTTGTTTTAGAAAATTCCAAAGAATAAAAACAATGCCCCGGTAAATGAGAAAGGGCCAATATAGCCTATCTAGTATGATAGAAATGATGATACTGAAAGTCCGACAATACTTCCAAAAGCTATATAGAATTATTTAATACTAAATATACTTACCAACACCGAATTCCATAAAAGAGACAAGCTCCTCTTGCATTTCTGGAAATTAGATCAATAGTTCTGCATAAGCTAGTGGGTGATAGTTATTAGATTTATAATATTACCAGCTGTTTGCAGAAGCCCTGTAGCCATACCCTGAATAAACCTTCCAATAAAGCCAACAATCAAAAACAAAGGACTATACAATAAGTCTTAATATTTTAGCAGATATTACATATTAGTGATGTATTCCAGTGAAATATAGCACAAAGCAGAGAATGTATTCATGAAGAGAGCTAGTCTCACCATGATTCGGCGACCTAGTCTAGTTTACAGTTTTCCTATCACCAATGATGTGAAAAAGAATACAACTGTGTATGTTCTTTATAGTGATTTAAAATAGATGAAAAAATTACATGAATAAAGGAGTATAAGCAAGGTCTGGAACTTCTTTTTTTTGGAATTATTCAGGCAAAAAGGGCGCTAAAATGATAAAGAACCCCTCTTTTAACCCATTTAGAAAAACTAGACTAAAAATTGTCTTGTTCAATTTCATGATAATTTTACTATTTAATAAATTTTCATCAAATTTCTACTCTTAAATTAAAGCGTTTACTAAAGTTTAATTTCCTATTCAAAAATGCTTTATTTCCCCTATATATATATTAAATTATTCAATTTACTTAAATTTAACAAATTTTTTATTATGGGGTTTTGGGGTTTTGGGGTTTTGGGGTTTTGGGG